TCGAATCATATCATAATCCAAAGGTAAACCAGACAAAGCAGCAATTATAAGATCGTTATCAGACACTTTTTCACCAGCAGCTTGCAATTGATCCTTGATTGCCTTTAACTTCAACAAGTACTTATCAATGGTATCTCCCCCCCCCCCCCCCCCCCCCCCCAAAAAAAAAATCTTTTGCATAGTATGAAGTTCTGCCTTTAAATGGTTCATAGTAACACTAGATACAGACATATAGCGATCTTGTAATACAATCCAAGCCTCCATGAGAATTCTTACACCCAACAACATGTTCAATAGCATCATCACTGAGAGTAGCAATTAGTAAACTTAACAAAGCCATATCAATCTTCACCCATTGTTTATATGCATCATTAATCTCAGTGGTAATACCTAATTCAGGAGTAAGGACAAATTTGGGAGGACACACATACTCCCTAGTGAAATGATCAAGAATATCATATCCATGAAAAACAGAAGAAAATTGAAAACTCCACTTGATGAAATTGTCATCAGTAAGTTTAATGGTAAGTATATCCAATAAACTTTCAATTTTCACAGGATTCGACATGATTCACAAGTAGAATATCGGAAAATCTACAATTGATGATCCAAAAACACAAACAATCCAAATACAATCTTAGGTCAGCAAGAAAAACCCAGTCACAAACTTAAGTCGGCAAGAAAAACCCAAATGACAACTTTATAGATCTGAGTCCACAGAAGAAGAAAAATACAATTCCATATACGAATGCAATCACAGAACAACAAGAATCAAAGAAATTCTAGCTATGGCATCGGCCTTCGAACTTCAAGAATCAACAACAACAAAAAATTCACTAATTTAGGCATCGGCCTTCAGAAAAATAAAAAAATAAAAAATCTTCAAACAACAAGATAACATGGCATCGGCCTTCAATTGGTATATAAATCCCAAAAAAAATTCCAGTACTGTGATCAAATCAGAATTCTCCAATTTTGTATGCACAAATCAAGAACAACATCACCTCACATCCAAGCGTAGCAGCGGAAAACAATGAACCATCAACACCGCGTCAGCGAACCAGCTATGGATACCATTTTAACAATCACCATCTCAGAATATGATCTCAAAGAATTGAAGAAGAACGCTTAACAGAGAAGGAAGAGGGAAAAACTTCAATATTTCTCATTAACTATATTTTTTAGAATACAGAGTACTTAACCGACAATACAAGGAGGGAAAATAATATTTATACTAACAGCTCAAATACATTGGCTTAAGACAGAAGCTACTGTTGCACATGTGGCACTGTTGACATGGCAAATCATACTTATCCAATAAATCACTGGTCATCTAGTAGCTCATTTGATTAATGTATCCCCATCTATTACCAATGTAATTTGTCTCTGGAAGACTCTGTTTTATATGTGAAGTCTCCTTCCTACTTGGAGAAATTTTTACAAAGTGTTCGGTATTCAAGCGGGTATAACACGAGTCATAAAATAAGTGGAGTAAAACGGAAAAAATATATCATTTCTTCCACTTATATTATGACATGTGAAGTATCGCTTGAATACCTAACAATGGCGTCCATTAGGTGTCGATTGTGTGCATCCGATCAACCCGTCACTTGCCTCACATATAGGGAACAACATTAGAGTTCACATGTAAATAAGAGATCTGATGTTTGAATCTCATGAATGACAAGTTCGATAGCAATTTATTACTTAACCCTTAGTGTAATGAAAATACTTGTGTCCCTCTCCTATGCAAATCTACTTGCCCACCACTTGAGATTAACGCATCTTCAACATACAAACATCATAATCAGAATCGTTCATTCTTTTTCTCATCATCTAAAGATCATTTCTGGAAAAAAAATCATTCAATTCGGAGATCGTTTAGCCATTCATGTGTGTCAACCATTGAAACATTTTTGATATAAAGTAGCATCCTCATGATGAGCCACATATTTGTTTTATGCATATGAATATCGTTTCTTCAAATGGAATGGTTTTTTTTTTTTTTTATTTATTTTTTTTTTTTTTTGCATAAATGACAAAACGGTACAAATTATGATATTTGTACGATGAAAATAGGTTGATCATTAGTGTAAAATATACCAGTGAATTAAAAATGCATTTTTTCATTATGGGCCTTAAAAGACCCGTTATTCATATGGGTTTGGGTCTTTCTTTGTAGCACCAGACGGCACCATTGGGCCTGAGTCATCATGTTCTAACTATACACCAAGGTCAACCAAATTTTGGGCCTGATAAATTGGGTAAGAAAATTCCTCATCAACTAGTTAACCTTCAGGATCATTGACTTCCGCTTCAAATTCCCACCGCAGAAGATTGAAGTAATTAATCAAAGAGAAAGTGCCAAGGATCTAATTCACCTACAGCATTTGTTAGTAACTTATTTCTTTCTAATTCTCAAATGAGTATATTCTATCTGAAATTGTCTGATTTTTATCTAGTTTGGGTGATGATGATTGCATGACCACATTGTAACTTGAATTAAAACCCGTCTTTAGCTTTATTTTGATAACACATATAGTATTCTTATTTATTTAGACAGAAATTTGAATTTGCGTGTAAAGATACAGATGAACACATTGTCCTAAACGACTGACCTAATCTACGTCGAAAGCCTTTAGCTTTATATATCATAGAATATGATGGCTTTAACACTGTTTATGAGCAAACGAGGAGACTAGGAGAAATTGAAAATGCACCTCGCAAAAAATATGAACCCAATTCAGGGACAATAAGCCACTTCATAATGACTAGCTAATGACATCACAAGTTTTTTTTTTTTTTTTTAGTGGGAGGATTGGGTTTAGTGGCTATAGTTAAAGTCCATAAAAGACTCAACCGGAGGCGGTCATGGAAGGTATTATATGGGACATTAACTATATTAAGAAGCAATTAAGTTCTGTTGAGTTTTTTTCCACTCCTTGTGCCTGTAATGGGACTGCTCATTTGGTGGCATCTTATGTCACAAGTGTGGGAGGTTATCATACGTGAGATTGTTTTGAAACAGAGTGGTTGTTTAATTTTCTAGCTTCTGATGTAAACGTTTCAATTCGTATCTAATACTATTTCATCTTCGACGAAAGAAAAAAAAAAAAAAAAAAGAAGAGAATTCAGAAGTTGGTTTCTGGTATTTCTGGTACCTGTTATGATCCTCAGACTCAAAGAAAAGCTTAAATTCTGGTATTTCCTTTTCTTTGCAAACTCCAAAGTTATGTTTATATTGGTAGATTAACTTGCGTAGTAGTTTGACACGCAAATAAAATATTGACAGTGGTCGTGTAGTAACGCTTTTCGCACTTTTGATGCGGTTATTACACATCTATTATATTTACTGATTTGTTATTATGTTCATACAAAATAAGAAGTTTTAACGAAAATTTCACGGTACTGTTCACTTTAACGAAAAACCACATTTTTACACTAAAAAGTCAATCATGATACTATTCACTTTACCCTCTATTTTGTCCTTATCATTAAAACTCAAAGTTTTTAAGTCATTTTCATTAGTTTTCCCTACAAAATATCGGTTTTCTTAATCCCACTTACAGATTGCCTATTTAGTGAAATCCAACTCAGTTAAGTGGTCTGCCACCAGTTATCTTTTTTTTTTTTTTTTTAAATTAAAAAATTAAAAAAAAACTCAGTTAAGTGGTCAAACCGACCGGACTGTATTACCTATATTGAAAGTGGTGGATTCCCTTGGAGTTTGGATTACCCTTAAAAAACCGGCTCATATATTAAGTGGTGAATTCTCTTGGAAGTTGGATTACCCTTACAAAACCGGCTCATATATTACAAGTGGTGGATTCCGTTAGAATTTGGCCTTCCTCTTCAAGCCATTGCGTCTCAGATTCAAAACTTCACCATTTTCTGTTCATATAAGCTACAAACATGCCTGATTCCTCTCCACTATCCTTCTAATACACATCTAGAACACACGAAGAAACTTCAAAGCATATTATTATGGTGAAAGAAATCCACTTTCACTAGTTGAATATTTTAATGGGTCAAAGACGGTCTCTTGGCACTTGGTTTTCTGTCTCAGTGAAATACAAAAGGCAACAGAAGAAGTCTCATCTGATGTTGAAAGTGGGAGACAAAACATTGCTAGGCCACCCTTTGCTCAACTTATACCCTACATTCCATCTGAACTCAATAACTCTTTCTCCTCCCAAGGAAACCTAATTGGAGTTTCCATTAGAGTAACTAAGAAGCTGAGACACATCATCAAAATTATTATTGCTATGAATATGGTGTTCCGGGGTTTCTATATTTTGGAACAGCCTAGAATATACTAAAAAAATCCTAGAAGGGAAAATTTTAAGCAGATTACTAATTAAACAGCTAATCATTTGAGGGGAAAAAAAAAAGTTAGATTTGAATTGAAATGTCTGGTCACATATTTGTACATCATTATTCTTCGTGATTTCTTCCTGATGCGTCATGGGAAAAAAATGAAGATTCAACTAGGATCAACAAATTCCATGAGTTGACACCATAATCTTTCTCAGTTGCGTGTTGGAGCTGCAAGTTTCTATGATTATTTACATTCTTGTAGTCATCTAGCTTGAACTTCTCCAAAGCTGTCGAAAGAAGAGACAGCGGACTGAAATGAGTTTTGATTGCTTTAATGATCCTAAGTTTGATTACTATATATTCTTGTGAATATTCAATTATGATTTCAATAGCCACTTTGTTATAGATGCATAAACAAATAGAATATGAGAGAACTAAGTCCTAATTCTAACTAGTCCGATTATGAAACAGACGTCGATATATTCTTTATTAAAGTTTGCATTTTCAACCGTTCTTTAACAAAGAATGATCAACGTGTTGCATATAGAATTTCTAGATTCTAATAGCTTAGTTTTGCAACTTTAGCCAAAATTACCTCTCTTTTTTTGCCATGGAAAGCATCCCATGGTTTTACTTGGAGCAGTCATTACTGTTGTGCCTTTTATTTACTTTGCCTGCATGAATCAGTTATGCATGAGATATATGATGTTGGATATTAGGGTGCGTAGGTAATACAACCGAGTAAAGTGATCAATATTTGAAGTATTACATAGTTTGTAGCATGGTTGCTTGAGTGCTGGATCGTTGGATATGTCTGGAGGATCCTGACCAAATATCATCTCACAGCTCATATCATCAAAATCTGCAATATCGAATGGTACACAATATGATTAGGTCAACAGTTATCTGCTAGATGTTGAGACATCTCTATTTTACTGATCATGGTTTGTCTAACAGCTATCCGACAAGTGGTGTATCCGAACAATGTTGATATTGGGTGCCTTCATCATATGTTATGGTGACATATATGGGCAAAGATGATTGGTCTCATGCACCCACCTACGCCCAACACACGGAGGAAGGGGGCGGGTAGCAAATCACCTTGTATAAAAAAATAAAAATAAATAAAAAAAAGAGTGGTCTCATGAGGAAGAGGAGAGTTTAGTAGAAACCAATTAATCATGAAAATTCTGTATATAGAAGATTTATGGCTAGGAATTCTGGTATCAACACTCTCATGTAGTCATGTTAGAAGTTGGACGGTACAACTTGCAGATTTTGCACCCTTTGTGGGTTTATGCATGGACCCTCCATTTACATCATGATCATGGCCCTCCACATTTAAACTTTTACCATCACTTTGTCAGCCAGTCTTCTTTCCATTTTCGTTGATCTTTAATGAAAATATTTGAATAGTAAATTAACTTTAAGAGGATATTTGGCATAGCTTTTGTTACCAAAAGTTTGTAAATTTATTTTGAATAGCCTAAATCATTAGTCTGACTATAGAACAGACGTTTGTTCTTTGTTACTACATAAACATACTTACTTGGAACCATGTTGACAGGAATTCCAAGGGAAGTCTTGATGAAGCTTTGAGATGGCACCTTGCACATATTAAGGCACATCCCTACACAATTGGTTTCCTCTAAAAACCTGCAAATTTGTTGGAAAAATAAGAGAGAAGTTATAAAAAAAATTGTCTTAAAACAAAAAAGTGGAAAAAGGAATTGTTAAGCCAAAGATTATGCTGAAGGTGATTGAAGTATGAGTTTTATATGGTGATGATAATTACGTGTGATGACAATTAGATGATTAATCATGATGGTAATGCAGAAGAAAGGAGGGCAGGATTAGCACAATGATTGGTGCAGATTGTTTTCAAGCAATGGAGATGTCTTAGGTTGGTGAGGAGGTGGGACCCTTTAATTTTGAGGGTAAAAACTAAGAGATTTTTTAGTATGCTTGGAACACATAGTGGTACATCACATGTCATTATATAAGTAGAGTGATGTTTCATAAAAATAAAACTTTCATCTACTTATATAATAATATGTGATGTATTATTCTGCATTGTAGCTACACTTAAAAATTTCTCCTAAAAATGAGGGGTGAAATTGAGTTACAATGAAGGGTGAAAGCAAAAAACTTACCTGCACTTCTTGATGTACACTACATTTTTCTCTTTTCTTCCATTGAGCTCCGATTGCTTTACCTTCAAGAGTTAGATCACTCTAGTTACAATTTTTCAATTCAACTTCATTTAAAATGCTAATTGCTTGTGCACATGAGTGTTCTATTTGTGAGAAAGATTATGCAAGTGACTAAACCCTAATAACTTTTCATATTTATATTACAAAACAGTGTTAAAATCAATCATATGTGCTGCGAAGCTAATTTATTTGTTTTTTGTGTGCACGACTGAACTTGACATTTCTTAAGTAAAAGAGAGATTTTTTAGTGAATAAGAAACAGCCCGACATAACAAGTGTAACAATAATATAATTAGTCGGAAACTTAAAAAAAATTATGATCAATTGTATTATTACAATTTGCCTAACAAACAACATTCATGACATACTAAAAAATTTCTCCAAACAAAGTGGTCGAAGTAATGGTATGCTACGACCGGCCAAATGACATATATATATATCGAAGCATTTTAATCTAAAAGAGGAAAAAGGAGCAATTTAATATAACATAATTTACATTTATATAATAAAAAAAGAATACTGTCTCCTTCTACTTACCTCACAGGGTCCCACCAACCAGTTACATTTATATAATAAAAAAAGGATACTGTCTCCTTCTACTTACCTCACAGGGTCCCACCAACCAGGCAAAGAAGATGGTGGTGAAGACTGCGAAGTATTCCCTGGCAAATTTTGATTCAGGTAGGATTGTTCTAAGCTGTTCATTGGAAAACACAATTTTAGCACAAGGTAAAGAAAGGTATGCAAATATAAACCAGAATATGAAAAATTAAAATTAACAACAGTAGAAAAAACAAAGGTACAGCAGGCAGCTAAAGAACCAAACACCAAAATACATGTCGATTAATAAAGTTATCTTTTGATAATCTTCTCTAAACTATGAGATATGGATGAAGGTTCAAACTTTGATATATAAAAAGAAGCAGACGATGCTGTCTAACAACTTAACTATGCTCATGTTTGCTTAAAATGCTTTTCTTTTTCTGTGTCTAATGTGAAGTACGTAAAATGAGATGTTCTGGAAGAAAATAAAACAATATATATATATATATATATGAACTTACCAAGGAAAATACTGGCTTTGGGAAGGCAGTATCAAGAGCTTGAAGAACTAGTTCTCTCTGTTTTGCTGGATTAAACTTCCTGGATGCAACTGTTGCTGCCTCCACCAAACTTTCATAACCGCTCCTATTGTTTCTCAACCCTGCAATAACATTAAAATATAAAAAAAAAAAACCAACCTCAAATAATGTCATTTGTGAATCATTATTAAATTTTGAGATGAACGAGTGAATAAAGTGAGAGAACCTGTTGCAGCCTGGACATTCTGAGACAGATGATTAATGGCCATTCGGTCGAACCAGTTATCTTTGTAAACTCTCTTCCCTTCTACAGCAGCATCTGCCGGTCTTGCGTCTGTTGCTATGTTCATGTTCTCCGCCGGCGTTGTAAGCACAGCGACAATCGAACAACGCCGTAGCTTGTGTTCATGTACATGCCTTGGTTGAGCCAGTGTGGTTGTTACGAAGCTCCTGCTTTGTAGAAAATGTGATGCTTCCATGTTTGAGAGAGAGAGAGAGAGAGAGAGAGAGAGAGAGAGCTAATGAGAACAAAGAGTGCATGGAGAGCATTTTAAAGGAAAGGGCATGTGAGAGATCCTGTGGTTTTGGAATCTTGCCAACTTAAAACTCTTGAGATATTTCATGGAGGGCTGGAGATACCCTTTTAGCTATTATGCATTTGTTTTTGTTGGGAAATTTTGAAATAGGTCCAATTTTATAAATCACCTTTTGAAATAGGTCTAATTTTTAGTGACTTTTGATTTTTGAAATAGATCCAATTTTTAGTTACTTTGGACCCATATCAAAAAACCCCTTGTTTGTTTTGGTGTGTTTGGGAATTTGGTGGGAGCCAATTTCCAAGTGGGAGTAAACTAAGACATTTGGTGTATTTTGAAGTACCAAACACAAAATATAAACTGACAGTGATATCGACGGAGTAGTATATATCTCTTATATAAATTGACTTGTTAAATTATTTGTAATTCTTAGAGTTGTTATTGTCTAAAAAAATGTTACATAAGTAATTAAATATCTCTTGTATATTCGCAAAATGGAGTTGTCGATAATCAGGAGTAAAACAATACCTTTCCAAAATTTCGAGGAATATTGACAATTTTTTTTATACTTCAATCGAATATTCAACAAAATTAATTTAGGGGATTTTAGAGATATTTCAACGAAGATTTGGGTAATTTTTTTTGTGAACTTCGGCGCAAATTTGATCATAAGATTTCTTTTAGTTGTTAGCAAACTTGAAATAGAAAGACAGCAAAAACAATTCTCACAACTATAATACTTTTGTGTATTTTTTTTTTTTTAAACTTTTCTCATATTGTTAAAGGTTTTTCATATACTATTATAAAGTACAAACAACAAGGAACAGAACAAAGAAAATGTATTTTATATGTTCTAATATAAATTCAAGTTCTTATTAGTGTAGCATTGTACTCAAATTTAATTTTTTTCCCGTGCATGCAAATTTCGTAGTGTAAATTATTTTACAAAGTTTATATGTCACATAGATTTATTTGTTGATTTTTGAAATTTGTAGAAATTTCAAACATAACTTTATGTTTATTAGACTGAAATCGAAATTAAATACTTGATTATACATTCTTCTCTTATACAAACGCAAATAATAAATTGCAGTTTGAGAAGTACATGACGAATTTGTTGTTCTGATGATTCTATAATGTCTAATTGTTGAATAACCAATCTCAAAAAAGTTAATGTTGGGTTTATAGGAATGAAAAATGGGTCTATAAAGACAATATAATGGGTCTAAGAGCGTATGATCAATTTGACAATGAAAATTTTGTTTGTGATCATTTTAGCAATTAATGATGGGTTTATAAGAATGGAAAGATAGGTCTATAAAGTAAAATAATGAGTCTATAAGAGCGTCTGATAAGTTTGACAATCAAAATTTAATTTTTGACCATTTAGCAAATTAATGATGGGTTTATAAGAATAAAAAGATGGGATTATAAAGGTAATATAATGGGTTTAGAAGAGCGTCTGGTCAGTATGACAGTCAAAATTTAGTTTCTGATCATTCTAGCAAATTAATGATGAGTTCATAAGAATGAAAAAAATGAGTCTACAAAGATAATATAATCGGTCTATAAAAGCGTATGATCAATTTGACAATCAAAATTTAATTTCTGATCACTTTACAAATTGCCCTTTGAAGTGTGAGATACACTCTCTTATATAGTAACTTTCTTTTAAGTTTTACCTTCACCTATGGGGTGAAAATCAAGCCTATTATATCACTTGGAACATATGAAAAATGATTGAAAATATACCAAACAAGAATACAGCCACAAGCATTGGACAAAAGACAAAATACAAAAATTAAAATGAACTTTGAATCAACGATTTTCAGTCAAAGCCCAGCAATTAAGCCACGTATACAACCACAAAACCAAAGAATAAAAATGGCAGGAGCTGCAAAAGCACTGGTTCGTGGGTGTCACCGACCGGAGTAGTCTTATGTCCCATGGGTTAATTAACTTAGATAAACAATTTGTAATTTTGATGTAAAGCTGTTATCAGCACTTTAAAAATATCATTGTGAATTTCTTCTTATGAAAACACGAAAGTTGCAGTGTACTTTGAGGAAGACGAAATGAATTTTTAATGTTGCTAACAACAATTTTGATAGGAAAAGGGTAATCACTCTTTTTTTTTTCTCTACACACTTTTATTTAACCATATCCATTGTTTTTATTAAATTTGTCAATCTAATAGTTAAAAATAAAGAAAAATACATAGAACGAAAAAAATGATGTATGATAATCATTTCCCCCGTTCTAATAATGTTGAAAACCTAAGCATTATATCATATGAAAAATATGAAACATGCTTGAGGATAAAGTTAACAAAATATATATTAGAAATTGAACTTTGAGACAGCAACGTGCTGCCAATCCATGTACGGAATCACATGTGCTGAATTTTTCAGTGTGTTCAGAACATTGGATGGTACACCACTGTCATTATATAAGTGGAGGAAAATTTTATTTTTCAAAAAAAAAAAAAAAAAATGTTCCTACATTTATATAACAAGTGTTATATCATTCCGTATTTCGAACATACTGAATAATCTCTCTACCAAAAAGAAAGATTCTCTCATGTTACTAATTTATCATCATTATTTCACCCGTCAAATGGATGAGAGGGCAAGGGCTTAAGATTCGAGAAGGCAAACACATTTTTTTTTTTCTTTTTACTACCAAAAATACTTGTACTCCAAGCTAGATTTAAACAACCGGACCAAACCCAAGAGCATTCAAGTAAGACCCTAACCACAATTTGGATATAGTTTCGATTCTCTCACGGACATTGGATTTAATGGGTAGATAACTTGATAACAGTGCAAAATTGGGTCATCAAAAGATAAACACAAAAGTTGAGTGAACAAACACCCAACAGGATCCTCTCCGAATCATTTTGGTGAGAATTCTTTTTTAAATTTGTAAATCATATACATTCATCGTACATTATGCAATTAATTTTTGTCAAGTACTGTTTGTATTTAATTTTAAATAAAATAATTTAAAATAATTTCTAACCGCACAATATACGATGAACAAATATGATTTATGAATCTTCGGATCCTCATAAAAAAGATCCGACAAGATCCGGATTCAACAAACACGTCCCAAAACCAAACCAATATGCCAAAATATCCGTCCGCTCTCCTCCGAAGCCCAAAATATATTTGAATTATCAGTCATTAATCAAACGATCGGCCTTAACGGATCTAAAACTATTCATCCCTAAAGAATATTTCCAGAATGGTGCTATCCACAAATGTCTCTCAATTTTCGGCCAAAGACCATCGGATTGAATGAATAAAGATCAAGGTACAAAAAGTAAAAGAAAACGTTAGAAGTCAACGGTTTGTGGATAGCACCACCCTATTTCAATGGAGAGCAACAACTCGGAGTAGATAACTCATATATAAGCACAAAAGAGATGACCATCCATCCACCACTCCTAAGATGGTCCCAACATCAGAAAACCAAAGGTGTCCATTGACCACAAGAGACCTCAACTTCACCAAATAAGAAACAGCATCGGTTTACTACCACAGACCAACACCGTGGTTGGAACCAAAAACATACTAGCATCACTTCATTGCTTAGATTTAATCATATATAATCGACTACATCGGTCACATAGGCATGGAAAAAGTTTATCACAGCGCAAATGATCTCTTTGAGAACAATCATCATAATAAACAAGACGCAAAGCTTATAAAAGTCGCATTATATAAATAAAGACTAAGAATACCAGGTTAAACTATCCAACAGAACACATAAAGATGAACAAACATACAGATAATGGTTCAAACGGACAAGCACTAGATTGCCCATATGTACTACTAAATCCAGCTAACCTAAACAGCTACTAAAACACAAGAAATAAACAGTCATAATATTAAACAACACCATCAGTTAATACCCATTTGACTCATCAGATATTAATTACTCCTTGGAAGTCTTGTTGATGAGGGACTTGTGGATGTGGGGGATGACACCACCGCCAGCAATGGTTCCCTTGATCAGAGTGTCCAGCTCCTCATCTCCCCTGATGGCTAGTTGCAGATGCCTGGGTGTGATTCTCTTGACCTTGAGATCCTTGCTAGCATTCCCGGCCAACTCAAGAACCTCAGCAGTTAGGTACTCGAGGATTGAGGCCAAGTACACAGCAGCAGTGGCGCCAACACGCCCATGAGCAGCAATTCGCTGTTTCAGCTGCCTATGAATTCGACCCACCGGAAACTACACATAACCAAAATGAAAACTCAGCACCAACAACACAATCTAAACAAACCCAAATGCAATATCAGCAAGAATAATGGAAAATAAAATGAACCCAAATGCAATCTTAGCACCAACAACACAAATTAAACAAATCCAAATGTATATTCAGCAACGATAACACAAACAAAATGAACCCAAATGCATATTCAGCATGACCAATGCAAACTAGACAAACCAAAACGCAATTTCAGCACCAAAAACACAATTTAAACAAACTAAAATGCAAATTCACCAAAAACAATGCAAATAAAACAAACCCAAATGCAATTTCAGCACTAACAACGCAAACTAGACAAACCCAAATGTGAATTCAGCAACAACCACCCAAATAGACAAAGACGAATGCATATTCAGCACCAATAATGCAAATCCAACAAACCCAAATGTGAATTCCATACTTACTACGCAAATTAAACAAATCCAAACGCTAACTCAACACCAACTACACAAGTTAAACAAAATACAAGCCCAAACGAAAACCATCACAAACACCGCAAATTAATCAAACCAAATACAACAAACGAGTAAAACAGCATGGTAAAAACAAGTTTGGTCGACATGTATTCCAAATATTGGTAATAAGGAACTGCAAATTTGTAGTAGTACCTGGATACCAGCGCGAGACGAACGAGAAACAGGCCTCTTCTTGTCCTTCTCCTTTTCTT